GACGGCGCCTACGCTGCCTCCCCTCGAGGGATTCTCTGTCCTCGGTGCGGCGGACACGGAGCTGCTCTGGGCGCCAAGAAGTTAAAATTGAGATAATCCCCGCGTTTGGGTTACCCTCTGCCCATTTACAGACCGGGTGTCAGCGTTAGTAAAAGCACAGTTAGAACAAATGGCAAATATCCGTTAAATTAAGAGAGAAGAGCGACATATCCACAGATATTTCAGGGTTTGTTTGGTTTTTTTTTTTAAAAAAAGCTATAAAGTAAAGGTATCCGGGGCAGTTAGTGCACCTGGATGTATCGTACCAGGAGCAGTGTCAAATTTTCGGGGATAATTTGACCCCTCACCCCCAATGAAATCAAGTCCTGAAACATAAAAAAAAAAAAAAAAAAAAGAGACAACGAGTGAAATTTTGACTTCAAGAAGCGAAGGTGAGTTTCACTGCCCCCATGTACACCAGTTCACGTTGTACCTGTGGATATTGTGAATGTAAAGAGACGCCTGCAGCTACTAAAATGGAAATAAAACGGGTGAACAGCGTAGCCACACGACAAAACTCCACGTCTGTGCTGTAACACGGGAGCAAAGCCGAGTCGTCCCGTCCCAACAATCTTCAGTTCCCCCCCCGAAGCCACTTTTTGTTCCTTAATTCCACAAAACGCAGAAAAAAAACCAACCACACAAGAGCCTCTTCAGACCAGACATTTAAACTTCCAGCACGTGGAGTTTATCCACTCCCATCCCTTTTTATCTTCAAAACCAGGCTTGTTTCCCCTCCCCTTTCAAGACAGCTCTTGGGTTCCTGGGAGGTAAAAAAGACAGAAAAAACCAGCCCACCCCACAAAAATCAACCCAAAAAGCCCCTCCAGAACACAAATTGACCAAAAAACCCCTGTGCTAACAGTGTGTAGTAAAAGGCATCAGGATTTACTGTATTTTCTTTCTCTCTTTCCAAAGCTATCGGGTTTTCAGCAAACACAAGAAAAATGGGAGCGGCCTAAAGCAACACGACTACGGCTGTGAACGCTTCTCAAAAAACCAAGGGGTGGTTTTTACGTGGACGCTCAAAACGGGCTTCACAGCGGGGCCAGATCGCTCCATAAAAAATAAAAGAACCCCCAACACAAAGCCCCCAAACCACCAACCGCTCCTAAAAAAAACCCCCAAAACCAGACTAAAAATTAAGGATTGTCCCTTGCGACTCTGTCCAGTTACCACGCTGCAAAAATCTGAGTTCTTGGGTCTTACTTGAAACAACAACAACAACAAGATCGTTTTTCCAATGTGGGCAAGAGCTCATGAACCACCCAGTGAAAAAACCATTTGCTTCAAGCAAGGAAGCGACGGAGGTTTCTTTTCTGCTCGTCCTAGGGCAGCTGGAGCAAGAAGACCTCGAGAGAGAGAGAACGCTCGCCAGGCTGAAATCGAGAGCAAGACGTCAGAGCTCCAAGCCACGCTCTCTGGAGGACGCGCTAAATATCGGGAGAGCTTGTGTGCGTTTATCACACCATGGTTTAAAAAAAAGAAAAACGACATTTCCAGAGAGGCAGCGTGGTTTCTCCCGGAAAATAAGCGGGGACAAGCGTTGCCGTGTCTCTGTCGCGCACGAGATGACAACACAACGTTCTTCCAGCTCCCAATTGCCAACGCGGTCACCCCAACCGTTGCGTGCAAACACACGGGGTCACCGAAATCCCCGAACCAACAACCCATCACTCTGTCCTCAAGCTACAAGACCTACGCGGACCCACCTCGGCGCAACTGGAAGGACAGAAAATCCGCTTTACATCGTACAACACAGAACACAGAGCGCGCGCGTGAAGGCCACCTACTCGTGCCGTCGTCCGGCTCGAAGCTGCCGGTGTTGTTCCACGTGTTGTTGTTGCTGTTCCCGTAGTTCTCCTCGGCGCCGGCCGGCTCTGCGTAGTCGGCCGGGTTGAAAGTTCTGGAAGAAATCGGGAGGTTGGAAATTTCCATTCCCTCTCCCCGAAGCGTTTCACACTCGACCATCTTTGGTCAGAGCACGCTGTGGCTCAAAAGTTCTTGGAACACTTCAGCTACCCCGGTCATTCCCAATTTTAAGTTAGCACGAAACAGTTTTGGCTTCATCAGCAAAAAAAGGAAAATCAGAACACAAATGGTACTATTCACACACATTGATTTATTTTTTTTTTTTTTTTCTGTGTTTTGTACCAGAGAAACTTACCCCATGCCTTGGGCAGAAAACCTTCCCCCTCGCCTTCCAGAGCCACCTGTGAAACACAAACAGGCGCCGAGCTGAGCATCGCCGGGAGAAGAAACACTTAAACACGTGGAGTTCTGACGCCCAGAACACGAAAGCAGTGAGGATCTTCCTGAGTTAATGGGATTTCCAGCAGCATCTTTTTATATATATATGTAAATATGGGAATGACTTCAGCTGGAATAAATAGGGCTGCACGACTCCAGGCTCAGATGAGGTTTCCACCTCGCACAAACCCGTAAGTACCAAACCCCAGGTTCTGATTTCTGCGGCGCCTGTCTTCAGTGACCGTTCCTGAGCAGCGCAGGTTTTGTGGAAAAATTAATTTCTGCTGCCGAGCGTCTAAAACCAGCAACGGTGCTCAGAGATGTGCGTGCAAGAACAAGGAGGATCCAGGTGCTGGGGCTAACAAGCAGCTGGTCCACCTGCCAGAACAGTCACCTCACTTTAACTTCCCACTTCTACATAACAAAGCCCTATTTCTATTTTTTTTTAACGCAGGAAATGCTTCTACCACGCTTAAGAAGAGGATGCAACGTGTAGGCAACTCGGTGTAAGCACAGGAAGAGAGAAATCAAGTGCTTCTTTGCAGTTTGGCAATTCCTCCTGTACAAGAGGCTTTCAAACCTCCCAGACAGGGATACGCCGTCGAGATTCTTCTCCTCCCACTCCCTCTGACCTCAAACCCGCGTGTACCTCGGCCTCGGCCACGTCCCCGCCTTCCTCTTTCTGTGCCTCTTCCAGAAGATCCTCCAGCTTTGCCACCGTCCAACCCATTCTCCTGGCCCCGAACTGAAAGACACAACAAAGACAATTTCAAGATTCATCCTGCTTTAGAGAAATCTGAGACCAGACCTCAAACACCCACGACCTGTTGGGAGACCACGGAGCCAAGCGCTCCCCTCCCAACTTTTATTTAAGCCGATGGCACCGAAGAATCAATCAAGGGATCATCCCACACAGGGGAGCCCCAAGCAAATCGCCGCACACAAAGAGGGTTTTCCTCAAAGACCGCGTGCCCGAGCTTTGCCAATAGCGCAGAGCGGCTCGGTGTGCACCGCTACGGGCGTTACGGAAGGGCAGGTGCGTACACTCTCTGCCACGGCTGGCACCCGTCTTGTTGGCCCGCCGCGTCGTCTGCTGAAATCCCGCTCCCTCTCTCGGTTTTCTTTGCTTTCTTCGCTGGGTTCGGTTTGCCCGCTCTCCTTCTGTCCCGAGACGCCTTTCTTCTTCCCGACCATCTCCCAGGAATGCTGCAGGTTTGCAGAGCGGGGAGAGAGAGAGAAGGAAAGCAAGATCAATGCAAGATGCAAACAAAAGACATATTAAACGGGCTACAGAGAATCCTAGAATCCTTCAGGTTGGAAAAGCACCGTGGGATCATCGAATCCAACCACTGCCCCTGCTCTGCAAAGCTCACCCCTAAACCATCTGCCCCAGCACCACATCTCAACGAGCTTTAAACACCTCCAGGGATGGCGAAGCGTGTCCAGACCAACTTTTTTTTCCCCAAAGAGTCCATCAGCCTATGCTAGAGTCCAGCTTCTTCCTTCAAGGAAAGCTTCCTCACAGCTAAGTGGCACGCAGTTTGAGGCAACAGGACATGAGTTATTCTATTTCTGCAAAGATCTACTAAAGTTCAAAACCTGGATAAATTTACCCTGTTGGGGGGAAAAAAAATACCCAAACCAACCCCAAAACTCTCTGCCATTTCATACAGGTCACTGTTGTAGGGAGCTCTCGGAATAACTCAGGTAAATGTTCCAAAGTGTTGCACAGTCAACGTTTTGGGGTAAATTGTTCTCCTGGATGCAGAGTGATTTAACAAAATGCCTTCCCTAAAGAGCAGCCCACAGAGACAGGAGTATCACAGAGGCAAGTTCAAGTCATCCCAAGCTCAACGGTGAGAAGTCAGAGTCTCCAGCTCACTGCCAGGGGCCTGCATCCGTTTATTTTATGAGTCCGCAGCAGTTTCATGCTCTTAAACTGATGCTGCACAGTTAGAACGATTAAAAAGAGTCACAAGTCATTGACAAAACACCTGAAAACATAATCACAGACAAGCTGGTTTTGGATGGAAACATGCAGGGACAGTGATAAAACAAACAAAACCAAGAGACAGAGCCACAGACTGCCCTAAAACCCAAAGCTTCTGAAGTCTCTCTCCATAAGTATCTGGCTCAGGAGGAGGTTTAGGAAAACATTGACTCTGAATACCGTAATTTTAAATGAAATCTCACCAAACACAAAGGTAACGGTAGCTCCTTTGCTGTTGGGAAGGTGGCACCTCCCGAGTAACAAGCTCGGCAGGTGAGCTGTCTTCATCAGCGCCGCAGCGCTCGAGCAAATTCACAAGCCTGGTTCTTATCAGAAAATTCCCTTCACAGGATTGCTGCACAGCCTGAACCCCGGCCAGAAGCAGCTCCAAGACCTTTGACCGACGGCCCCGCAGAGGCTGCCTGTGCTCAGCGACGCGGGCACCAGCCCCCCGCGGCACCGTGGGCTGGAGAAGGAGCTGGCACGCGGGGTTTCGCTCTGCCAGCCCCGTTTCTGCCTCTACAAACCTCCCGCAGTAGCTGTGTCCTGCCCTGCTGCTGGGTGTCTGCAGCTCGAGCGAAGAGGTACCGCTGACAGAATGTGGTTTGCTGGGCGTTATCCTGGATGCTGCTTCCACAAGCAACGGGATTATTATAGAATCCTAGAGTGGACGAGGCCGGAAGGGACCTCAGAGATCAGCTGATCCAGCCTCTCGACCAGCCCAGGTTGCTCCAGGTTCATCCAACCTGGCCTTGAACACCTCCAGGGAGGGGCAGCCACAGCCTCTCCGGGCAATTTATTTCA